ACTGTTATGTAATATCATTCCTTCTATATGGCAGTGAATGCTAGGCAATCTCGTCACACATGAAGAAGAGACTTTAAATAATAGAAATGAGGTTCTACAGAAGGATGCTCAGAATATCATGCACTGAACATGTAGGCAACCACAAAGTTCAAGAGACAATGACATCAAAAAGGACGCTTAAACTTAACATCTGTTAGAGACAGTTGACATTTCTTCGTCACATAATGAGGAAAGAGGGCTTAGAAAAACAGATCGAAAGTAGGTGTGACAGGAAAGTAAGGCATAACCTCCCTGGCGAGCTTGAGTGAATTGATGTCGGAACAGGGTTTGTGAGAGATGGTAAAAAAGAGCTACAACGGGGAGGAATTAGTGGAGAACCATGACCGCCAAAGTCACTGTAGTCTAGGACTCGTAGGGATATCTAATCGCGTTCTTATTTAGGATTCAGAATTATCCCAGGGGACAATAGCATCGTAAATGAAATTGTTGATTCTTAAATTTGATGACACAGTTATTGCGAGTTGGATCCTTGGGTTGGACACTGTACTTGGAATTGGTGGAAACAGGGAGAATAATAACTGAACAATACTAAATAAGAACAAGATGAAATATCACTGAACATGGACAGTAGAATGAGAAAAATCTACCACCTAAGATTAAATATTTTCGTTCGAAATTGCATGAAGGTTTCCAGAATAGTCAATTATCTGATGAAGGCCGGTGGTGGGGATCACAACGACTGAAACCTCTCAGAAATTCACAGAAATTTGTTTGAAGAAGTTACTTCCAGAGACAAAATGCGTTACTGAGTGTCATGTGTCCTTACCTATAACTACAGAATGAACTCTTCCTATGTATACTACGCCTCTCAAGAGAGAGGGACGAATCAAGCCGAGAAGCTCGGCTTGACGGTCAAACTCTCTGCCTCTGAGCAGAGAGGAACCCGGACGAGGCTCCGCCGAAGGGAAGAGTCTCGTTCGGGGAGGTTGACCAACCCGATCCCGTTTATACGGGTTCTACGGGCTCGGGAAACCCACGTTAAACTCGGCCTTTTGCCACATGCAACCCTCGTGGGGGTGGTGGCTAGATACCGAATAGAGTCGAGCCGATAGTAGTTCACTCCAAACCAGACTGACAGTCATACTAACACCTTCCACATCTTGTATAATATACCTTCGTTATTTCTACTCTTGTGTTCGTGTTGTTCTTCCTTGGTTCTAATCTGGACCATAACACTGAGAAATGCTTTTTTTTCATTTTCTCATTCAATTATCAACTAATAGACAGATATATAGATTTGTAATACACACACACACGCACATACACACATTCCTATATATATATATATATATATATATATATATTCTTAAAACAGGGAACATTTTATTAATCTAAAAATCAGATTAAAAAGTATCGTCTCGTTTAAAAATAAAAAAATTAAGTTACCTTTTTTTCCGACGCTTGGTCAAAAGAAAAATCGTAGGAATTAAGAAAAACTAGTGAAATGAAAGAACCCTGGTTGTAATAGAATTAAAAGATACAAGGAGGAGGGGAAGGAAAAAAAATAAAGATGCCCAGAACAAGCCAAAGACTTGCCGAAGAATGCCAGTTTATTCTTCAGTTCCCTTTGCCTGCATCGAGAGTCAGACGAGGCGTGTTGATAACATCCGCCACCAGGACGTTAAGTTGGTATTTCAACCGAGACCTGTGCAGCACTGAGAAGTTCGCTGAATAATTGGACCCACAAACGACAGAACTCAATAAACGTCCCCGATGGCAGACTCGACTGTGAGTGCCCGAATGCTAATGGAGCTGTTAACATGAAGTTTCTCGTGTCTTTTGATATTTGTAGTCTGTTCACGAATGTTCCTTTTGACGAGACTATTGACATTTGTATCGTGGCCCCTTAAAGCCTCCATCATTTCCTGAGATTGTTTTGTCGAGCTGATGGCGATGACCTACTAAGTCTGTCTCTTTCAGCTTGATGTATTAACAGATAGATGGAGTAGCAATGGGTAGTCCTTTGGGACCTCTCAGAGTCAATATTTTTGTAGGGTACCATGAGAGGTAATTGTTTGATGAGGTCCCTAAACCATACTGCTATTTTCGTTATGTTGATGACAATTTTACATCTTTTTTATCACATGATGAGGCAGACAGTTTTTTTCAACATCTGAATAGTCTCCACCCCTCCTTACAATTTATGGTGGTTACTACTCCCCCCCCGCCCCAAGTATATATAGGAAGCCCACTTTTACTGGGTTATATCTCAGTTGGGAGCTTTTTTGCTCCTAAGTCTAGGAAAATTAACTTCGTCAAAACATTTAATTATCGTGCATTGATGATATCTTCAGAGTACAAACTTGATGTCGAACTTATGGAAATGACCAATATCTTTCTTGGCAACCGATATCTGGAAGGTGTCATGAAAACATATATTTAACTTAAAATTTTTAAGTTTAATGAAATTAAAACATTTAGTCCACCTAAGTGTCCTGTCTACATGTGATTACCTTGGATTGGCTCTTATAGTCAATCATGCGCTGATAAGATCTCCCCAACTGTCATTGACTGCTTCAATTCTGTTATGGAATATCTTTGCTACCAGAAGTGCTTTCACATCTGTCCATAGAGTTGTCTTGTTCACAAATCAACAAAGTTCGGTTATTGATCCTTTTAAGTGTCAGTGTGAGGTCGACTGTGTGGGTAAGACTCTCCAACGGCCGGAGGTGAGGATTGCGCAACAACGTGACTGGCTTTATACATACACATGCTCCATTAGCATCTGGGGGAGCATTTATTGAGTTCTGTCATTTGTGTGTCCAATTATTCAGCGGAGTTCTCAATGTTGCACAGTGCTCGGACGAAACACCATTTTTGTGTAAGTCTCAGGTTACTTTGGGACTAAGACGAATAAAAATTAAAACTTTATCAACATTTAATAAATTTATTTACGTTTAAAAACATGGATGCCACGATTAACAGAAACATAATGTCCTTTCCTATATAGAGAGAATATGTAAGGCGGACTTAATCATTTGGTTTGGTCGAGTGAAATAGGGCCAGACAAGTTGTATCTTTATACCCTTGGTAACTGGTACCGTAGTGGCGGAGAGAATTCCTTGCGTGTCGCTTCAGAGCAGGTCCGAAACTCTCTCCCATGTGGTCATCTTTTTCCAAACCCAAGTGGTTTAATTAACCAATGAGAGACCGCCTCATATCATGTGACCTATCTCTATACATGATGAATTTTATAGACCTAACACCATATTAACATCATAGAGGCGGTCTCGTCCGACTCTGTGTAGGCAGAGGGAGCTAAAACATAAACTGGCAAGTCTTTGTGTTGTTCTGGGCAACTCTAAATTTTTTCTTCTCCCTTCCCTTGTCTCTCTTTTAATTCTATTGCCAAGAGGTTTGTTTCCTTTCAGTAGTGGTTTTTTTTTTTTTAATTCTGACGATTTTTCTTCTGACCGTTGGAAGATAGGTACCTTAAAATTTTTATTTTTAATCGAGACGATACTTTTGTATTCGACATTTTTTATTAATAAAATTTTCTCTGTTTTAAGAATACTATTTAGATTGTGCGGCACTAAAAAATTTATTATATATATATATATATATATATATATATATATATATATATATATATATATATATACCACTTGAAAAGCCATTTTGTTTTGTTCATTTGTGGATTTTTCTGACCACCTCCTTATAGCATTGCCATTGTGTGTTGGTAATCCGAAAATTCTTTCTTGAAAGAAATTTGGATTACTAACACACAAACAGAGAATGTTTCATATCGAGAATATTTAACATTGAACATAAGGAAAAATTAATTATTTTTAATAATATGTGTAAATCTCTGCTTTTACCTGAAGACGGTCGCGAAACCAGAAACACGTGTATGTAAAACAAAGCATAATATTTTTTCTAAATAAATCCACATTACAACCAAAAACGTTTGCGACACCTCTCTTCTCTTCTTTTTAATATACATACTTTTCTCTCGTTGGAACCACTACAACATATTTCTTTTTTATATATATATATATATATATATATATATATATATATATATATATATATATATATATCCTCAGTGGTTAGCTCACTATACTGACCTTGTGTCAGTCTACATTACTCTTGAATATTAGTTTCATTTTATTGAATTGGTTTTTCATTTTTTTCCACATTTCTTTGATTCTTGACGCACTCCGCAAAATGAGTAAACACACACACATGCGCACACAGCATTACGCGTACGCACGCACGCACGCACGCACGCACACACACGCACGCACGCACGCACTCACACGCACACACACACACACACACACACACACACACACACACACACACACACACATATATATATATATATATATATATATATATATATATATATATATATATATATCGTTAAAATTTCTATTTTTTATGTCAGAAATTCATCATGTCATCCCAAACAGAAGCGAGAATCTGTCATCTTAACGTACGCCCTCCGAACCCTCACCAATACAATTGCAGAGTATAATATTCTTAGAGCACACGAACATCTTGTAGCAGACAATGCCAAGAGAGGAAGCTAACCGTTCACGCTCTCTTTCCGCTGCAGGGTCAAACTCCGTCACGAAACCACACGATTCTCCCTCGACGTTTGCGTAGCCCTTGGCTTTTAACGGACATTTGTTGTAGGCATTGTCCGACGGAAAGAAAGAAAAATACCACGCCTGGTGTATTTCATGCATAAACACTATCGTCCATAAATTCGTGTCTCCCTACTAATCCTTAAAAAAAAAGAACGTTCATTTTTCGTCAATGAAAGTCAGCCTCTACTGCAAGTGAAGTATATGCATATACAGATCATTGTTAATAACTAATTAATTGTTGATAGCAAACATTTTGACTCATATGTCTTGCAATGACGAAGCTAAAATTGTATGATGTCAGATCTAAATATGGGAATTTTTGTGTCATATGACCGTTGTGGTCATATGACACAAAAATTCCCAAATTCACAAACATATCTATCTATCTATCTATCTATCTATCTATCTATCTATCTGTTTGTGTGTGTCTATTTAAAATTTGCTATATTTATGAGAACCAATTCTAACCTTCACGACTAAGACCCGCCATGCTATGCACATTGTAAGAACCACTATCATTTCCTTCTTATTAAATTTTTGATATGTAAATCCCACTCGAGCAGCAGCTTCTAGCGAACCGCTACTTTGTGGAACCGACTCCTAAGAGTACGTTTTCCTGATTACTACAACCTTAACCTGTTCAAGTCTAGGATTAAGCATTATAAATTGTGTCTCTTATTCTGTAATCCTCTTCTCAAAAAATTATGGAAAAGGCAACAGGAAACCACTTTTTTTCTTTGCATTTCAAAGTTAATAAATCAAAGGAATATATGCAAAGCTAAGATGGTCAACGACTTGAAAGGACATTGTATTGAAGACTCATATGTAAACAAATGACATTTATTATGGTTTTAACAAGACTCAAATGACTTAATAATTATTAGTGGAATTTGTTCAAACAGCATTAGAAAGGAAAATTATTGTCTAAACCCTCATTCATTTCGATATCGTCGAAAATAGGTGCAGAAATTAACTTGAGAGGAGCAATAACAACCGTGTGTAGCCATAGGAAAAATTGAAATTTATCAGCTCAAATCGGGTTTAAATACAATCAGTGTTTAAATAAAGCCAGGATTATTGGTTCATTTTTAACTCGACTAACAGAATTGGGGGAATAACGATACATGTAATCATTGAAGCAAATTTTTAACATATTTTATAAATCCTACCTGGAGTTTCAAGGAATGAAATCTTACCTCTACATAATACTATCCTATGACTTTTCTAATTTGAACATATATATATATATATATATATATATATATAATGTGTATATATATATATATATATATATATATATATAGAGAGAGAGAGAGAGAGAGAGAGAGAGAGAAATAGGAAACTTTCATGAGGCTAACATTTCCTATTTGTTCATTATCATTCTGTCGGATTCTGATCCATATTCGATCGATATTTGATCCCAACTCGTCCACCTTTGTAGAAGAAAAACGGATCAGACGGTGATTTCTCCTGCAAATGGGGAGTGCATTTTCTTTATGTCTCGCAAATGCGTAAGCCGGTAGACGTAAACACCGTTTATACAAAAAGTAAATATAAATAAAACAGTAACAACATGATAAAAAAATAAACAAACCAAAAACAGCGTCTACTCTAGCGTAGGTATTGACAAAATACAAAAAGTAAATTAGTAAAGTTAAAAAGGCGAATTCACTTCGCTAAGTAAATTTTAAATGAGATGACTGTTACGATCCTTGTTTTTTAAAATTATAAAATGCATGAGATCTTTCTTAAATACGCAAGTACTTTCGACAGGTTCTCCGGTCTTCATAAGGAATAGAAACTATTTTCTTTTTGGTAAAATTCAGTTAACATACGAGACAAAAAATATTTGGTATATATATATATATATATATATATATATATATATATATATATATATATATATATATATATATTAAGTGCTGGTGTTAATAAAATAGTGATCGATGCAAAATAACATAACTATAATCTATCTAAATGCAAATGTCAGCGTATCACACTTTTTCAACTTCATCCAAGAGGCCGGAAGCCAACATATCATAGCATTTTGGAATCAGGTCGACTCTGTGAGCAACATAACAGTTTTCAGGGCACGCAATCTTGAAACTTTGGATTTTCATTACTGCGATGGTGTACGACAAATGTTTTTCTACGATAAAAATTTTTATAACTAGGAAATAAATTTGGGAATGATCGAAATTAATTGCAAAATCAAACGAAATCAAGTGAAATAAAAATAATTGTTTGTACGGAAATTAAGGACCTACGTACATCAAATTGTCTTTAAATTAAGTGGTGGCTGAAGAATTATCGTTGAACTTTTAAAAGGTAGGCTTAAATATTAATGCAATACTTAAATGCAGCGAACAATTTTGAGTTCTTCTGTAGTTTATCGTTGCCTATCGCATACGGCAAAAGTATGCCTCGTAAAAAGAAATCTCTTTCAACAGATGACCAGATTGCAATCAAAAGAGCCAAGGCTGCAGCGAGGAAAATTAAGTCCCGTGCAAATGAAAACGACAGCTCGGAGAGCTTCCAATGCTGAGAATATGCAAAGATTTAGAGACTCTCAAACTCCAGAACCAGCCGAAGGCCCAATTAAGAGCCCAATAATACGGATTTTTTGCTAGTATATTAATAAATATACATTATTTCCCTCGCCGATAGAACGACTCGGAGTTTCATGTGCAAAACGCAACCTCTGATACTGAGTTCACTTAACAACTGAATATTGCGTTGTGCATAAAATTCCGTATAGTGCTACCAGAGAGAAAAAAAAATATATGTATGTATATATAAATAAAAAGAAAGAACAGTAAGATATATAATCCGGTGTTCTTATAGATATTTTTTATTTTTACAAAATAGTGCTCAATGTAAATTTACAGAGCATTAATATTATAAATTGATTTATTTAAAATATGGTTTAATGGTTTATGGTAACTAGATTAGTTACGTAACTAATAACGGATACAATGATACAGACATAATGAACACCCAGACACCCCTTGTCCAGTTGAAGTAGATTTATCTGTAACCTTGGAAACGTGGATTATGATTTTATCTGTGTCTTTAAAACCCAGTAATTTTAAAAGTTACTCCAAAATTCGCTTGCGGATGAAATGGAACTAATGTCTTTAATTTAATTACAAAATTAAATTCGCAGCTTTTAGCTTCCATTTTTGAAACATGGTTAGAACTGTGTAGCGAAAAAACATATTTTAAATAAATCAATTTATAATATATATATATATAAATATATATATATATATATATATTTTGAACAATAAGAAAATTAAAAATTAAAAAATTAAAATCATTAGACACACTGGGTTGTAGATTAATATTCTTTCGTTTTTTTATTATTATTATTATTCCATTTAAATTCCTCGACTAGTTTCGACCGAAATGGCCATCATCGGGAGGCGAAATATTTCTGCTTGCTGTTAGCAAGGAACTACAGAAATGAATGTCTTTTGTTGGCAGTCAGCAACTACTAGATTATTTGCTTTCATTTGATTAATCATTCAGAATTTGATGATGTTTATCTAATTTACTCTCAATCTACTTATTAAGTTTTAGTAAAACAGTTCAATATATGAATTAATAATACATAAAAAAATATTAATATTTTATTTCCACAGCTAGTAGAACTAGTAGTAGTTGACCTCTTGTATCTTGGTGGCATTATCTCCTTGCTTGATGTAGTGCCTCTTATTCTTTCTTCCTTTATCTAAAGTGGCTTTTTATTTTACAAATTAAACATTCGTTCATTTTATGAATGTAATTACAATTAAATCCACAGGAAGCTCAAAAAATAAGTTTATTGAGGTTCACCAGTCCGGGAAACACTATCGGAAAATTTTCACTGCCACTTCATTGTTCATGAATGTAAAAAAAAATCGTATAGTGTCTCCCTAGATCAGGTCGTCCGAAAAACAATTCAACCTGAATAGTGACTAAAATTACAAGTGAATTTTCAATCAAACTGCCATCCAGAGGTGTTTTATCTTTTAACAAATTAACAACACAAAATATACTTTAAAAGCAACGGCAGAATCTTTTAAGAATTACATTAGGATAATGTTCTAACCATTTTTTCTAATCAATTCACCCCAAGCAAGGTGATAATGTCACTGAAACGAAAAGGACTACTGAGAGTGAAATAGAACGAAAAGAGTATAGAAGGATATTGAAAGTAAAAGAATAACATTTTAGTGTTTAAGCGGAGACGTTAGAAGTATAGAGTTAAAGTAGACTTTAGAAGAAACCAGAAGCCCAATCGTAAACAGGAAACAAAGGATAAACCTCTACTCTTGCTCAAGACACATGGGAAGAGTGTGAACTGGACGATAGGTAAATCCATCTCTTACTATTTAGAAAAATATAAAAGATAAATAGTAAATAAAATTTCTGTTTAGGAGGAGATGTTAGAAGTATACAGTTGAATTAGACGTAACTGGAAACCCAATTCTAAGTCGGAAAGAAGGAATAAAATTTTACTCTTATTCAAAAGACCGGGAGGCAGACGATAGGCGAACATATAATCCTACTAAAGTGTAAAAAAAGAAAGAAAGAAATAGTAAATAAAATATTAGCGTTTTGGCGGAGACGATAGAGATTTGTTTCTCTTAATGAATTTTAACTCATTACTTCGACAGTAGTACCAAAATGTAATCAAAAATTTATGACCTGAATGTAAAATTACTATTAATAAACGGAAGACATCGGAATCTGAATTATTCTGAACGAAGACGAAGAGAGAATAGTCGGAAAAAAAAAACAGCCGATCGATGAAAAAACGGTTTTGAACATCTCAGAAAACGTGTAATAGTTCGAATGGAGCCTCAGGTATGAATTGTGGAAGTCGATTACTTTTTGCAAAATAATAATATTAGCTATTTATTATTAATTAACATATTTTTAATGCCATGCGTGATAGGCGATCATGTATCTGAAGAGGTAGATTTTTCCCGCAGTAGATTGCCATCTCTTTCTGCGGTAGACCACTTGCCATCCAAGGCTATAGAACTGTCCTGCTATTTACCCATAGCTGGGAGAGAAGAGGAGGATTCATACCTTTCCCAAGGGTATTAGTACGTAAGTGAATGTAATGGATTCGACTCAAACCGAACCGCTATCCATTACTCCACCGTGCCTCATTAACATATTAAGCATTTTTAATAACGCTGAGCACATAAATAGCATCAAAGGAAATTAAATAAAGAAAGAATTTGGAAGTCTTTTCGTATCTATCTATCTATCTATCTATCTATCTATCTATCTATCTATCTATCTATCATTTTCTGATAAAGTTTTGATAAAAGTGAAACATGTTGGATTGATAAACGTTTCCTATTTGTTCTTTCTTATCATTCTGTCGGATACCGAACAATATTTTATCTATATTTGATCCCAACTGATCAGTCCGTCTGTCTGTTTGTCTGTCTGTCTATCTATCTATCTATCTATCTATCTATCTATGTAACCGTGTATATATAATGATGATAATAATAATAATAATATCAACCTATGAATAAACTAATCTTTTATTAACATTGCTATTAATTTAAACTATAAATTCGATAATTTACAGAATATTTACAACCATATCTACTATCACTATGTCTACTACTACTACTACTACTACTACTACTAATAATAATAATAATAATAATAATGATAACAATAACAAATCAGCTTTTGCAGAAAGGTAAGAGTTTGTAAATAATATAAGTGGGCGCAGCAAACTAACTCAACTAAAACATACTCGACATGGTAAGGATAATCGTATACTGGCAATTGTGCAAACGAATCTTGTTCAACCAGATTAACAAATAATATTAGTAAAAAAAATAAAAAAAAATAAAATAAAATTCACTGACTGACCATTCTTTTGAAACAAATCCAGTTCTGGTTGTTGCGAACAATGGAAAGCAGAACGCAATTTGAAGAAAAAACACTTGATATTATCAGATCACCATTCCAGAACAGCCAAAACTAGGAAATACGTGCGTTAAGGTTGTGGCCCAAATAATTGGCGTTCAGACATATTTAAGAAGAGGAGGGTCTTTGGGGATACTGAGGAAGGTGCTGAAGATTGTGGGGGGGGGGAGACTTTTCATCATTCAGCAAATGCCAGAAGGCATCTGGTGTAAACGTGTATATCCAGGAAGTAATCTTACTTTTAAATGAATAAATAATGAAATGCAAGTTTATGATATAGTGGAGTAACATTTGAAACTGGTTTTAACGCGTCTTCTGACTCTCGTGGGATTATTTCACATCTCCTGAGATTAGGCGAGTTGATCCGAGCTCGCGCATGCGTATAAACAGCAAGAAGGAATCATCGAAAGACTCGAGGCAGATTGTCAGATTTGGAGTCGAAGAGAAGCAAAAAGTAATCAATAATTTATATCACTTCTCTGTTTTCCAAAGTTTGAATCACTTTTCGACTTTACGCCTAATCTTATTCCATTTCTTTCCTGGATCCGAGTTTTTCTTCTTTCTAACTTTTCAATCACATTTTACTTAGATTCTTGGCGAAATACTTGTTTCTAAGATTTCTTACAAGACATTTTCTATCATTCTATCTTTCCTTTTATTCTTTATTATTTACCCGTCTTTCTTTCGGTCTTAGTTTCATTAATTTTTCCTCGCATATTTTCTCTTTTTATCCATTTTTCATTTTAGCTCCTTTCTTTGTTTTTCTTAATTACTTTTCTTTTCAATCAATTCGCCCCAGTAGAGGCAATAATGTCGATAAAATGCAAGGGGTCTACTGGGGGTGAAAGGGAATGAGAACATTTTAGAAGGATATTGGAAACCCTTATCTTAAACTAGAAACTAGTGAAAAATCTTCTGTCATGTTTTCTTCATTCTTTTTCACTTTCAGCAACCCCTTGCATCTTAGTGGCCTTATCGCCTTCCTTGGGGTAAATTGATAAAATAATAATAATAATAAAAAAACTCTATTTTCTTAGTAACCGAATTCCTTTTTCCTCATTTTCATCCTTTCTTTTCTTTTGTCTTTCTCATTATTTCTGTTTTCATTATACCAAACTGCTATACTTTTATTTTCTTCTTCATTTTCATAATTTTCTTTTCAGGATTTCCGTACTTGATCCGGTCTAAGGCAAAATGAAACGCTGAGAAGATTGTATTGCGTCGATCTATCGAGTGGTAAAGGAATACCAGCATTCAAAATTCTGTTTTATTTTATTGGATTCCAAAATCACTTGATGAGGTTTTTGTGTTTTGGAATAAGAAGTCGGAAAACCGAGTTAGAATCTGAGACGCGCAAATAACATTGGGAAAGGCATGAAATCATTTCTTCTTCATCTGACTTGTATAAAGAAAAATAATTGTTATTTTCTATAACTTGTTAATGAAATAATCACGCAAAAAAGAAGAAAATCTTACAATGTTTCAACTTTTCGTTTATGTTTCGACTTTAAATAAGTCACAAAGGATATATAAGCCATTCAAAACAAAACGAAAACCAAATCAATCGATAAAAACTGATTATTGAGGTTAGAGTTTATCTCAGTCACGAAGAAGACAAATGGTGTAGCTGTGTTGAATAATTTTTGTGTTGTTTAGTTGACTCATTTTTTACGGTTTATCAATACTTGCAGGTTGTTTAAAGTCAGAAAATATTTTTAGATCGTAAGAATTTTGATTGGAGATAACAATAGTGATACATGATTTACTAATTAACCCATATCTGAGGGTGATGTGGATTTATACCTAATCAGAATATGATAAACGAACAAGAAATTATAAAGTGGATATAAAGTGGAGTATCAATTCTGTATTAAAATTAATATGTAAACTGATCCCTCAATTTGTGGCAACGGTAGTTTCTATAATTATGTTCCAGAGAATGTAAATAAATCTATAAGACATGTCTGTGTAGCTAATCAATATTCATTGATTAACTGATTTGTTTTCTACGGTTTATCGACCCATTACAGGTTATTCAAAGCCATAAAATATTTTTAGATTATAAGAATTTTTATTTGGAAATTGTAACGGTTTAGTGATGCAAGTTTTATTAATTAACCCATCAAAAAGCATAAAACTCAAAATCTGATGAATTTAAAAAGTGAACGAAAGAAAATGGTGAAAGAAAAAAAGAAAAGAAAATCCTTAAAAATAAAGATTCCTTTTTTTATTGATTTGTTTCTACGGGTTATCAACCCTTTTCAGGTTGTTTAAAGCCAGAAAATATTTTAGATTGTAAGAATTTTTGTGGGAGATGGTTTACTGATACAAATCCAACTAATTAATCCATTATTTAAGGCTGAGAAAAAAAGATGAAGTCATACATTTCCCAAGAGTATTTGCGCGGAAGTGAATATAACGAACCCAACTGGAATTAGAACTCCGCTCACCGATTAAAAATTCCGAGCTATTATACATTACACCACACGCATATCAAAACTTGCAGCACCTGTTATTCCCCAGGGGTAACCCATCTCGTTACTAATCAGCCTCAATGTTGCTTAACTTCGGTGATCGTATGGGAACCGATGATTCAAAGTGATATGGCCATAAGCCGCCAATTTTTGTTTAATACGATACAAGAGTGACGGATGGAAAGAGGTGTTTGTATTACACAAAATCTTTTAATATGGTGTGCTTGACTTAAAATCGTCGACTCGAACGCCAGTCACTGGGGCCAATGGTAAAAACGCAATTTTATATTTTCTTTTGAGTTTTGTCTTTTTTTTTTTTAACAAAAAGTCTTCTTGTTTTCAACATTTCTTTAATTATTTGAATCCCTTTTCTGCGTTTATCTGTTGCCTTAATGACAGCAGGCGTTTTTCTTTATTTTTTCTTGCTTTAATACATTTTGTTTTGTCGAAACACTACCGTAAATATCTTCTTTTTTGTCTTCCTACTTTCTTCGATTTTGCATTTTCTTTTTTTTTTTTGCACTTTCCTTCTTTCCTTCACTTATTTCTTTCGTTCACTCATCTTTTTTTAAATTTTTTCTTTTCCTTTGACATTTCCTTCGGTTATTCAACCTTTCTATTTTCTGTCCTTTATTCGCTTAGGACATTCATCCATTATTTATTTTTTCTTTCTTTCTTTCTTTCTTTCTTTCTTTCTCCTTCGATCATTCATTCATTTAGTCATTTGTTATTTCTTTCGCTCTTCCTTTTTTTCTTTCACTTATGCCATAGTTATTCATCTATTTTTTTTTTACTTTATTTCATTCATTTCCATCAGATTTCTATTCTTTCTTTCACTTTTTTCTTTCTGTCATTTATTAATTCTTTCTTTCACTCAATTTTCATTTATTTCCTGTCCTTTATTTCCTTCAATCATTTATTTTTTGTCCATTCTTTGTTTCTTGCTTGCTTAATTATTGATTGCTTACACATATCGTCTTTATCCATTCTCTTTCTTTCTTTCTTTCTTTCTTTCTTTCTTTCTTTCTTTCATTCATTCATTCATTCTTTCCCTTATTTTTTCGGCCAATGATACTTTCTTTCTTTCTTTCACTTGTATCTTTCAGACATTCTTTCATTATTTCTTTCTGTCATGATTCCTTTCTACTTTCTTTCAGTTATTTCCCTCATCCATTCTTTCTTTCTTTCTTTCTTTCTTTCTTTCTTTCTTTCTTTCTTTCTTTGCACACTCTCTTATTTCTTATCTCACCTCATGCACCAGTCTCTTTCCCGCATTTTCTATTGCAGCGACCAATAAATACTCAATGGACGAACAAACACATCCTGCCAGCACCACCACAATATATCACCTTCGATTCCCACCATCCTTTCACAAGCATATATTTCACCGACGCCAACATCAGCACCACCTGACGGCTTTTCAACGCAAAAAGCTCTGGGGCCAGGGGCAGGTGGGCGTAAGAAAGGCGAAGATAAAGACAGCCCGGGTTGGGAGTCGAAGTGAAACTGTAAAGGCACGAAACAATGGCGAGAAAGCACATTACCAATTACGTTGGTAATTGGTTGCAACTCGCTTCTCTTGTCGACAGATAAACTGCTACCGCCGCGATGCTTTTGTGAGGTTCTTAAGCCCACCGCCAAATTTGATACATTATTCTTGACGTGTTCAGCTCGCATCTACCGGCGCGTCCAAGACAAGAAAGTTCTTCAATTACATTAATAGGGCAAGCCACTGCAGACCAACTGATGGAGCTGAGTGAATGTATGCGTGTGTGTGAGTGTGCGCACAATATGGTGGTTAGGTGGAGAAGCAGTTGAAGAGAATCGTTTGGAGTATGTGAGAGTTGTAGGGTAGAGGCTATGCTGAGGGTTGCCGTTGTAGAGTTACAGAAATTGCTGCTCAAAATGCGTATTTTGATCTGAATATTCTTATGATCAACATCATCAATACGATCCTCGTTTTCTTTGCTGTTGCCCTTCTCCTCACTATCGTCATTGTTGTTCACTATTCATATCAATGAGCCTCATCAGCATGATCCTTAATATCATCCCCAAAATATATAAGCATTATATCAATGTTGTTCATTATCAACATTATCTATTATTCCAGCTTCCTCATCATCAGCGATATAATAGCCTAATATATCGTTTATGCTTGAACATTATAATGAAGGTTTTCATTATATGTATCCACCTTCTTCTGTTCCGCCTCATTAAATATAATAGTTATTCTAACACGGCTATATTAATACCATGTTTTGACATTATAATCATTTCGCTTTTGTATAAATCTCAACAGGTATGTGCAATTAACGCAACAGTTATAAGCATGGGAGGAGGGTTGATTAACTGATGTCAAACTCTGTGTGTTGCTTTTTAATTCGCTATAGTACCTTTAGAAAAGGCATGAACCCCTCTTTTATCTCATCCACTTATGAGATAAATAGCAGTGTAGACTGATATATATAGCCTTGAGTGCAATCAAAGTGAATGACTATTTTAAGTGAAACAAAAGAAAATGTAGGGAAGTCAAAGAGAAACCAGTCGACTATCCTTTCTAAGGTGTTCATGGCTCTCCACAGATAAAAAAGAAAGGAATCTGTGGAGAGCCATGAACACATGTTCTGAAAGATATAAAATTTTAAAAAATCCCTACATCCCTTCTTCACATTATCAGTATCATCACTAGCATCGTAACCGTAATTATATCAACCTTTTTACTTTACGCCGCCATCATCATCATCATCCCCTTCATTTATCCTTGGCATCACAATCATCATCATAAACATTAATTATCCTCCTCCTCGTCATCATCATTTTTCCTTCGCTTCATCATCATCATCATCATAATCATTATCATCCTTATTTATCCTTGGCATCACCATCATAATCATCATAATTTTCATTTATCCTTGTCATAATAATAATAATAATAATCATCAGCAGCAGCATAAGCATCAGCAGCATCAGCAGCAGTAGCAGTAGCAGTAGCAGCTATACTCGGCATTATCACTATCATCCTTTATTCTTGACACTATCATCATAATCATAGTAATATAAATATAAAACTGGCAAAAAGCAAGCAGCCCATGACTCTACTGGGCTACTGTCAGCGCATGCGCAGTTGAGATTCGTTTAAAGCGATGCATCAAAACCCTTCATTAATTTTGATACAACCTGTATATAAAAATGATCATAATACGGCAATATTAACATTATAACTATTACCTTGATTTCTATTCCGTCCCATTTTTATTGTCAGTTTCCACCTCAGTACCGCAATCGCCTACTGCTATCAGCATTATCTCTATAAAGATTAATATATCTTCTACACCAGGTTTTTTTTATCACAATTGTTATTAAAGCTTTCTTCTCATTGCTGCATATGATTCTCCACACTGCGGCTTCTTCCTCGAAGACGCAAGGCTGCAAGCCAAGTGATACTTTATATTTGGTATTTTATCCATGACAAATGCTCAGATGGCTGCTCTATTCTTTCGTTCTATCAGTTCAGACATTTACAGCTGGAATACGCCATGATACTCCAACAATCAAATGATCCTAATTTACTACTTAATTCAAATGTAAGACAATAGCTACATTCCGATTTTCCGAAGAATTGCCACTTTGTGAAACAGACTCCCTCGTGGGTGTTTCCCGAAATATTAAATTCTTAAAATCTTCAAGTCAAGTCAATTTTTATTTACACTTCTTATCAACACAATCTTCACTTCCTAACACATTCTCGTTCACCTTATCACAGCTCATTCATCATAACCATTTTAACAGTAATTCGCTACCTTGAGTAACTCTCTGGCCACTTCTTGGGTGAACATTACTATAAAAAAAACCCTGCAATCTTAACCTTTAATGTCAAGGATCAATCATTTCTATCCTCCTTATCTTTATAGTTTATAATTCCTACCACCTTTTCATTCATAATATACACTTCATTTATAATTATTGTTTTAATATTAAGCTTCTAACTTGAGTGGTTCTTGAGCATTTTAATGGGTGAATTCTAATATATAGCAAAAGAAAAGCTGTAGTGATCTATCAGTAATATTACGGTATATTTAAACAACGAGTGACATATTTTATTTATTTAATATTTTAAAGAAGCTTAGATATGAAATGATGTTAATTATGCTAATAACCTCCTGATATGATATTTTACTTGATTTACAGTTACGAAACTTGTTTAATCTATTATTTGTAGCTGTTTGAATGAACGGATTCTGTACAGTAGCATCACGTTGCGTCTTGCAATAATTAAGACTACACTAACATTAGCATCATGGTTCCAGTTTCAATATTACCGGAGTAACCCTCCTCGTATTTACTGGCCTCTGAACAAAGCTGCATTAATATAGTATCATCAGTCTTGTTATCATGGCAAATATGTTCTTCCATTATGTCAAGCGCTGTCACCATCATAATCAGTAGCAGCAGCAGCAGCAGCAGCAGCAGCATTAGTGTAAACAGAGTATCGTAACATTTTAATCATTGTTTGAAAATTTAGGACTTTTTCTTTACATCCCAAACTTCAATATAACATTCGTGGAAACGATGAGATATCTAACCAATATTTACTGGAGTAGATAGACTCCCCTATCATCCGGTTCACACTCCTCTCCGCTCTTTTGAACAGGTTTATCTCTTGTTTCCTATTTAGGATTGGGTTTCCAGTTCCTTCTAAAGTCTACTTCAGTTCTATACTTCTAACACTTCTACTATGACTCCACACAGTAACCCTCTAACTTGAGTGGCTCTTGCGCCTTGTATTGAGTGAACATTAGTATATATATACGACGGCGTGACCATGTTAGACGGAAGGCTGATCATTTTAAAAATTTTCAGTTATCTGTTCTGAATAAGACTTGTGTTTTTATGTCCATCGTATTTGTCATATTGAACTGAATTGTATTTTAATGAATATTGTCTTGAAAAAGGTTTATTAAACCGAAACGTCAGACGTCGACATTTCATTCATTTTAACTACATTTAAGGATTTTTGTTTGTTTTTTCAAAAATTTTTCTTCATATATATATATATATATATATATATACGTTTAGCGCATTCATATTTATACAGGACACATGCTATATAATCAAACGGTATTTTATTTTTATTTGAAAACAAAGAACCAAATTTATGGTAACAATCCTCAGCAAAATAATAATTTTGTTTTTAAATACAGATAAAATACCAACTGATCCTATAGGTCGCATCTTATATCAATTTGAATGTACCCACTGTAAAGATACTTACATTTCTGAAAAGTTTCATCTCCACGAACCTGAAATGGAAAATTTAGATGTGGAAAAAGGCCTCAATTTGCAAATATATGTCAAATGGTTACAATAATAAACACAAAGGTAACTTTTATAGTTCATATCTCCATTCTATTCAAGATCAAAAGTCTCTCATTTGACTTCTTCGCTGTGATAATATAATAATATCAACTGATTTTTATATTATCTCTCTGATGTCTGTGCAGTGTAACTGTTAGCGGCTCGGAAAGAAAAATCGACGATCCGAGTTCAAACTCAAACCAAGTTTCTTACATTCCCTTTCGCAGAAAGGCATAAATCTATCTCTCTCGCCCTCGGCTATGAGTTACCTTGTAGGGTAGACTTGGATCTTTAGCTGTATTTGGCAATCAGTTCAAAAGAATGAAAACTCTTAATTCAAAACCGTATGTCACCCTGGCAAGTCGCATGCTATAGACATTGAAAATTTATTGAGTTTGCAGTTAACTTTGTCGCGGGGTTATAGACACTATGTTCTTGACAGAGGTCGAATAAGAAAAATATCTTTAAGCAGGAAGATACGAGATCCGTTGAAAAATTTATCTCACACAAAGAAAAGCCATAGCTGAACATTGTTGCTGTGGCAACACACTACATCTTTTAATAAAACTAGAAAAACTGATTCAGATTTCTGTCTTACTTTGTGTGCTGGTGACGCCCATCCAAATATGAGAGGTGTGCAACAAATCTAAAAATGGACGACAGAGGCCCGAGCAGTCATAAAGTATCCTCAAGAGAAAGGCATAACACCCCTAAAAATCCATGAAGATATAATACATACATTTGCCGAAGACTCCCCTTTCTATGAAACTGTGAAGAAGTAGTCAAGCGGAGGTGGGGCAGCACAGAAGATGACCCTTGATCAGGTCGCCCTAAAAATTGAACCACTGATGAACAAGTTTATTAATCGTATGGTTTTGCATGACCGACATCTTACTGTCCAGCAAATAGCTACGACCATAGGTATTACTGTTTTTAACTGAGATCTTGGGCATGAGCAAGCTGTCTGTAAGATAGATCCCAAGAATGGTGACACCAGACCAGAAGCAGGGTTGCCATTTCCAGGACACATCTGATTCACTTCTAGGCTAACCATGAGAATTTACACCGCAGATTAGTAACTTAATATTGAATCTGGGTTCACCACTTCGAACCTGAATCACTGATTCAAAACAAACAGTAGAAACACTCTGGCTCTCCATCTCCGAAGAAGTCAAGACCCAACAACCGGTTATTTAACGATCTTCCTTATTTTTCTTTTTTCTTTTTCTTCTACTTCCTTTTAATGTCGGTTTTATCTTTTGGGAAAAGCGGGAAGCTAATCAGGATTGTGGGGAGTCTGGCATTACCTAGGCGATAAGATGCTTTGCCAAAAAAAAGGTGTCGTGAAAAATGCACAAAGGTCAGTCTTATGGTGAATATGAGGGTTAAAGATGGCATTCGCTTACTCAATGGCGTCTCACCTTCAAGTGAGTAAAGCCAGCGGAGGGTCTTCATGAAAGCATGGCGACCAAACTCATTTCGACAGGCTATCCAATTACATTTAGGCCACTCAACCGTTTTTCGATATATGTTTTTTAATGATTTTACCCAGTAAAGGCAATAAAGTCACTAAGACACATGAGGATTACTGAGTGTTAGAGAATATGAGAAAAACTACTATTAATGAAAGGGGAAATGAAAGAGCAAGAATTAAGAAGATAGAAGATAACAGTTGACATTGCATTTAAATGTTTGAAGATCAAAGTTGACTGGAAAACAAAAAACAGGAAGAGAGTTCCACAGGCAAGAAGAAACTGTTAGCATAGAACCTACGGTTACATCTAGCTATTTCAACAGTAAAATTCTGAGACCTTGCCGCCAATCGTGTACTGCGCTTAAATTCATAAAGTCTAGAGGCCATAGAGGAAAATTCATCAGAACAATTACCATGAAAATATTCATAGAAAAGGCAGAGGGAAGCTAGGTTACGGCGGTGACTGAAGCCGGGATGCCAGGTCAAATACAATAACATTGCAAATTTTTATTTGGATTTCATCAAGAATCTCTAAATATATGACGGGAGCATCAGATCAGACGTCGCAGAAGTCTTCAAAACCAGGACGACTGATAGACTTATAAATCTGTAAGATAGATTGCGTCAAGAAAAATTGTCTTGCAGGGTGCAGGGAATCAACATCCCTAGCAGCAGACATTGCACTTAATTCGATATAATCTTTCCACTTCATGTCAGTGGAAAACCTTTATATATATATATATATATATATATATATATATATATATATATATAATCATTTCACGCGAAGCAAGGCAATAAAGTAGTAGTTGAGTGTGAGAGAATATGAGAACAAAAACATTATTATGGTGAGAAAATAAAAGAACAGCAGGAGTGTTCTACAAATGAGAAGTGCCAGAGAAGAAACTGTTAGCATAGAACTTACGGTTGCATCGAGCGATTTCAACGGTAAATGATGAGATTTTGCCGACAAAATTATCTTATTCAGTCGAATTAGCTTGGCCACTAATGAGTCTATATTGCCAACCATCACTGTCCTGCATCAAGGTCGGAAGGTTATGAGAGTGACATCATGTGTCATGCCATAGCTGGTCAATGTAGGTGGTTGCTGGGTGACCAACTCGTTTCGTTCCATGGCTAGGTGTCCAGAACAGTAGATCCCTCGCGAGTTCTTGTCTTGCTCGCCAACAGTGTCCTGAAAAGTTCATTCTGCTTTCGCGTAAGATTGTAAAAAATATTAGAGATGTTTTTAAAGAGCTGTGATTTAGTTGAATGTCGTCTCTAGGATATGTTAAGTATAGCTTTCAGCATCCGAGTTTAGGTTCCATCAAGATAGGGATGTAGGGATTTAGTTAATGTCCAGGCAGTGATACCATACATTAACACCACCTCTACAGTAAATCGAAAGAATTTCTACTTGAGGTAGATCAGATTTCCAGATTCTGGTAGATCAAATTTCCAGATTATATCCATTTAATCTAGTACTGCGTTTAAATTCACAAAATCTAAGTGACCAGGATTGAAAATTGCTTGTTACATCCCGATTGCTCAAAAATTGTGATTTGTGTCTAAATTTATATTTCTAATTACTTTTGTTAAATTGAAGAGGGTACGGGAAACAGAGGGAGAAAGATTGTGTATCACGTGACATTTCTCAGTATGGTATGCCTGCAAGATAGGTAGACGTGTTTCAAAAACTCCTTCTATCATATATATCAATATATTATCTTTATTTACAAAGTGTACGGTACATAGACTGATGCAGTGAGTGAAATGTGGCCAGAAAGATTGTGTTATGTAAATTTTCCAAAGGAGGAGGGCCTGCAACTTGGCCTCGTTCAAAAATTAACTACCATCGACAATACCATCAATGCCATTATAAGCACGACAGCCGCAATCAACACCACCAGCCATACCAATACATTTCTACTTCTACACTTGCCGCTTCAACCGTCATTGTTGAAATTCACTATTGGAAATTGTTCTTCTCGCCAGATCGAAGGTTATTCGTATGTGTTCGAGCACGCCCGTTCGTCTATTAGCAGTGACGGCTTTAACTTGCGTGTTTAGCCATTGGGTGCTCAGAGAATATGTGGGAGAGCACTTAAGCGGGCAAGGAAGCAAGTGGTTGATTCAACCAATGCGAAGCGACCAGTACAGAAGGTAAAAATAATGATAGGTGGGTAGTAAGGTGGTGTCTGTAAGTGATGGTTGATTGTAATGTTCGTATCCGGAGATGTGGACATGTTGCAGGCTACAAGAAGAATTAAATCGAACAGAGTTGGATGGAATATGTGGTGGGTGAACTTGTAGGAAGGGAAGTAAAAGAAGATTAAGAATGGACTGAAGAAGAAGAAGAAGAAGAAGAAGAAGAAGAAGAAGAAGAAGAAGAAGAAGAAGAAAGAAAGAAAAAGAGGGGAATAGATATGAATGAAAGAAGAAAGAAAGAAAAAGAGGAGAAATAGATATGAATGAAAGAAGAAGAAAAAAGAAAAAGAGGGGAAAAGATATGAATGAAAGAAGAGAAAGAAAGGAAAGCCAGACGATAATAAAGGAGAGATTAAACCAGAGAAAAGGAAGGAAGGAAGGAAGGAAGGAAGGAAGGAAGGAAGGAAGGAAGGAAGGAAGGGAGGAAGAGAGTGATGGAAATTGATAAAGAAAGAACGTCATGAAGAGAAATAAAAAGGAGAAAAAAATGTAAGGAATGTGAAAGAAAACGGAATGAGAAAAGAAAAGGACAAGAAATAGGTAAAGAATTGTAAAGCAGCGAGAAATAAAACGGGAAGGAGAAATGAATAAAAGAAGGAAGGAAGAGGAAATAAAATGAAATAATAAGAGGAGACAAAAACAATGAAACTGTTAAAGAAGAAAAGGGAAGAAATAAAGTAATTAAAAAAGAAAGAGAAGGACTAGAACGAGGTAAAAAATGAAGAAGGAAAAAGAGAGTAATAGAGAGGATGAAATGGAAGTGGAAAAGGATAAAAAGGTAAAGAAGAAAAAGAAAAGAGAAGAGAGAAGAAAACAGGATGCAGGAAGGAAGTGAATAAAATATGGTGAAGGAAAGAAGAAGAAGAAGAAGAAAAGATAAGAGAGAAGAAAACAGGATGCAGGATGGAAGGGAATAAAGATAGGGGAAGAAGAAGAAGAAGAAGAAGAAGAAGAAGAAGAAGAAGAAGAAGAAGAAGAAGAAGAAGAAAAGATTGAAATAAAGAGAAAAAAATGAAAAAAAATTTTTCATTTTAGACAAAAATTTGTTCGAAATGACACACCAAACACTGCACAAAAATAAATAAAATTAATATTGTGTCTTCAATAAATTTTCTTAATTTTTCTTAAAGCAAGAATTAAAGAACTGAAAAAAAATAAGTACATTATTATATCAGGATGTATCGAAATCTTAATTTGCTTACATTTTAAAATATTTTTATATTTATCAATTAAAATATATGAAATAATATCAACTCCAATATTAAAATTTTAGACAGATGTTGTCATAGTGTTTCTGTTGGTTGTTTTGTTTATGTAATATCAACTCCTTATCGTTTGTTTGTGTAATATCAACTCCTTATTGATTCTACATATCAAATCCTTATCGATCATTTAATGCCAAAATTTAATTTTTTGGAAGCTTTGAAGTAATAAAATTGATATATGTTATTCTAATTTCACAATAGAATACATGGTAAATGATACTCAGCTTTTGTGCATATACATGTTTGTGTGGACATAATTACTATGTGTGTGTTTTATGTTGTAGCTTTGTTGAATTTATATCCTGGAATACAGTTTGATTTCTTTGAGTAATTGTAAGATATTATCTGGATTAATGTTATGAAAGAGTTCTTTCATGTTGGTCGTTTGGTTGATTTTGCTTAGTGGAATATCAACCTCACTGCGTTAATTAATGCCGAAATCTAAATAATTTGAACACAATTTTATGGCTTCAACAAAATTCTTCTATAGTTATAATTTTTCATTGCTGGTCATTTTGCTTTAAAAATGTATTGTTGGTCTTTTTTTATCTAAAATATATTGTTGCTATTTTTACTATAAAATGTCTTTTTTATACTTTCATAATACTTTGTTTCGGGTCCACTGGTAGCCTAACAGGTGCTACCCCCCCCCCCGCTGGTAAGGGTGGACCTGGGAAAAACAGTAATTAAGAGATGGTTTCACGCTCCTCAAACCTTCGAATCTCATGGTCAGAGACCTTGCTGCCAGTGTAGTTTATCGTCATACTCAGGACTGCTTAAGAATAAGATACAATAACATATTTACAAATAAAACCAGACTATATAGGGTCTTAACACGAAGAATATTTTGCTTTTAAGAAAAAAATGTTCGCAGAAAGAGATGATTGTGCTGATAGTTGTTTTGAAATTCAGTATTAGAATTTAAGTTTCTACTAACTGCATTTAAGTCATTATTTTTAACTGAATTTGGAAAATGTGGTATTATTAATTGGCTTATTTTTCTGTCTGAAATTTGGGGATGAAGAGTTTTAATTATTTACTCTATTTGTATTCGGAATAGTGTCCTTATGTGAGGAAGGCCAGAAGGCACAACGTTCGAAACGTTGTGATAACAGCAACAAAGATAACGACAATAATCCGAATATAAATACTGTAAATAATGACTTAGTTTTGTTTATTGAATCTTATTTGGAAGACAATATTTATAATTTGAAAGATCATGTTTATAACATATTTATAATCATGTTTAGAACATATTTATAATTTTCAATTTTTTTGCCTTTTGATTTTCAGCAATTTTAAATGTGACCGAAACGTAAAGATTGATTTATTTAATTTATGAAGAAGGTGCTGTGAATGATCGAATGAATAAAAAGTGGTTCGCAAAGAGCGTGCGAGGGATTTCTCTCTGATTAAATCAGAACGTTACTTGAAAATAATCAAAGACAAAAATATTCAAATTCTTTTTAAAAATCATTTGCATCCACTGAGCTTTCGATTAGGATTTCTACACAAGTGAAATAAAAAAAATACTATCTATGCTTGAAAGTGAGAATTGAGAAGTTCAATTCACATATGGCATCAGTATTCCATATGTATATAATCTCAAAGGGGAGTCATCCACATTCTGGAACCGTACCAACATATTTTATATATGAGTTCCATTTGAATTCTGGAGTCAATTTCAGTCTAAACAGACTTTCAAAACACGGAGGCTCACTGACAATGTAATTATTAATTGTTACTGGAGAAAAGTCGTGGTTTGATCAATGATAAAATGATTAGCTTCTTTTTGTATGTATTGAAATTTAGAAGCCAGTTTTATCTCCATTGAACTGTTAGATTTCGGTCAGTGGAAACATCAGCACAAGGCCTCTGAAAAATTTTAATTTTGAAATTGGTTCCATAAATTGTGTAATCATCTGTGTAGATGTTTACGAATGATCTGGCATATTCATTGGCAGATGTTCAATATAAGACAGGAAATGGTAGTGCCAGGTAGACAGGCTTGGAGACGCCTGTGTTGATCACAATGGCTTCAAAAGACAATTCACAACGAACGACCATCATCAACTTATCTGAGAGAAAGGACACACTATTCGCGTGGATATAGTATATAGGTTCCCCTCCCAAATTCTAGAGGATTAGAGATTGGCAGCCTCCGATTTATCACTAACATCCCAGTGAAGTAAAAATTGGCTGGTTACATTCAGTGCCTCGAAAACAAAATTAGTTACATTTCATCATCGCCGATTGGGGTCTGAATTACCACCAGTCTCGATGAATGGATGTTCTTACAGGGAGGTACCGTCCCTTGAGCTTCTATTTGTCCTCAAACAACACAGACCTTAAATGGAACCCGTACATACGATCCATCGCTAAAGACGCAAGAAAAATGGTCGGTTCTCTGTACTATCCTCTACCTTTATAAGATCCAGATCAGGACTAAAATGGATTTAGCTGCCCAGGTCAAAAGCGTCTCCGAATCCTTGTGGGTGATGAATTATTTTCCACCCTACAATACCTTTCCCACAGGTCAAACGTCGCAAGCCCTATCGTTACTTCCATGGAAAGTGCTCAGACGAACCACATAACTTTCACGGCTAGGACCCGCCTTGTTATGCACATTGTAGTGAACTACTCTCATTCCCTCTGGATTCCAATGGTGAGAAATAAGATCCACTATAGTAGCTTCTTCCAGCGAACCACTGCTCTTTGGAACCGACGCCCAAGAACATGTTTTCCAGATCACTACAATCTGAACCTGTTCAAGGGTTAAACGTTATCTTCCCCACAAATCAGCATAAACACTTACTCTGTAATCGTTTACATTGAGTGGTCCTTGTACAGGGTGAACGTCATTGTAAAACAGACTCTACCATAGATGCCATAGATGTAATGTTTGTGCACAACCCTCTATGTCACAGATTGATAAAGATGTTTAAGATATCTAAAGCAATGTCTTTTTTTGATGAAGCTATCACCGAGAACTTCACTGATTTTATGGGTGATGAGAGTTACAATATTAGCAGTGGAACTAAAGGAGGAAAACCTATATTATTTGTCGGCCTGGAGAAAGTTTTGGAGAGTAATTTTCTCCTTGTTGATAATAGTTTCAAAGAGGCCGATGAAGAGTTATTGCTATGAACGTTCACCAGCCTTCTTGAAAATAGGATAAACGTTTCACAGACCCTGGAAAACATTTCTCTTTTCAGGTTGCGGATAAACAACTATAATTGTTCAATGGTTAACAAAATATTATTTTGTTTCATATTCTGGGAGTTCTGAAAATAAGCAAGACACTGTAGATCAGTATAATTTTCTGATATCTTTTTTTTTATCCTGTCGAGTTTAGCTCAGACATTAAGGGGTCTATCCGGGCAAATATTACGGTCCTGTATCAAAGTCGGAAGGTCATTACGGAAGCATTCAGTCTCATAACTCATAGCTGGTCAATGTAGGTAGTTGCTGGGAGACCAACTCGTTTCGCTCCATGGCTAGGTGCCCGGAAAAGGTAGATCCCTCGCGTTTTGCTCGCTAACAGCGTCCTGCAAAGCGCATTCTGAGTTTGCTTAAGATTGTAGAAATATCAGTGGATGTTTCCATAGAGCTGTGTTTTGGTTGAATGTTGTCTCAAGGATATGTTAAGTATATCTCCCAGCATCAGAGCCTAGGTTCCATTAAGATGTAGGGTTTTAATTAATGTCCAGGCAGTGGCACCATACATTAACAAATCTTCGCTTGAGCTATTCTGGTAGATCAGATTTCCAAATTACATCAGTTTTATTATTTTTTATTCAAGGGGACCCACGATATCTTATCACGACAATGCACTTACAGATTATGTGTTCTTCTCCTTTTTCAAGCTATAGGTAAATTTGTTTATAGTAATTAAAATAGTGTGTCTCGACGGCTGTTGTGATGCGTCTAGTGTGGTAGTCTGTAGTGTTAGTGCTTGTAGCGTCTTGCTTTCAGTTACCACCGCTGGCTAGTAGCAATGCGAAAAGAGGAGCCGAGTGCGTAAGTCTTCCCCTGCTAGTATATAGCCTCTTCATCAGAGAGTCCTATGTAGTGCCTCCTTGTGGCAACACATGGCAACCGAGCACCTTGCGGACTCGGGCTAAACTACAGGGGACGGGGGAGGATTTGGCCTCTTTAACATGTGGCATGCAGGCCCACCGGTGTGTGGACATGCCCTGGTGCCCATGAACCAAAACACAGGTATGAGTTAAATAGTTCCACTGCCTTGTGAAAATCTTTGGGAGAAGGAAAGGCCAAGGAGTAAACTCTACACAAACCCGGAGTGGAGCCCCTAAGGCGGATGGACGGCATTTTGTGCTACCTTTCGGCAACTCCTGCAGCCGCGTTGGTACCAATCTGTATTGGTTTATCCTCTCCTTTGGACTCTGCTAGCAAGGCCGAGATGGGGAACTAGATGTCCGGACAGCCCTAGTTCTTCATATATCCCGACCAGGCACTGGCGCTACTCCATCGTTTCTCGAGACGGACGGATGCCGAACCGAACCGAATGAAAATATATTTCTGGATGCATTTTTTATTCTCACTCTGTAATGTCCGTCAAGATGAAACATATATAAACAAAATTAAGAAGTTTATCAGGTTCTTATTCGATTTGTTGACCGGAAGTATATAGGCAAATATATGGAAGTTAAAACTGTTGCGTGTTTCTGTGTATTTTAGGGGAAGGTGCGTGTTAAATAAGTAAACAAAGAAGATAGAAGCATAGAAAAATCATTAGTTTCTACTATAGACATTTATTCATTACATTTTATAGTGACTGTAATAAAACAAATTTCTCAATGTCTATTTTGTGTGTCTGTTCTCTTTCTGGTCCAGAAGTTTAGGTAGGTAAGTACAAGTATCGTACTCGTGGTTGCGCAGAGTTGGAACAACCAGAGAAAAGTTTCTACTAAATTTATCGTTGAAAGGTTTAAACATGGTTATGAGATATCCGTATTATTTGTTTGGTCCAGAATTTAAGGTAAGTCAGTATAAGCATCGTTATAATGATTTGTGCTCAAGTCAGCCTTGCGCTAAGTTGGGATAACCAAAGAGAAAGCTTGCCCTACTTCATAGACTGAGATTTTGGAAGGCACATGCACTGGAACGTGGGAAGCTAACGTCCCAACTAGAACTTAATTACCATGTCGGGATACAACTTGGAGAAAAAAAAGGAGAAAGAGCATAAAACAAGAAATCTTTGCCATTTTATAGGTTTTAACAACGCCACCTAACGGCGTTTGACGAAAACAAGTGAGGGTAATTATATTTCAAGTTTTTTTACTCTTAGTATTATAGAAAATGTTTTCTTTTTATATGATTCACTATTAATATTTTTTATCTATTTTATTTCATTTTCACACAAGCGATCGAAGAGCTTCCAATTCAGATCGCACAGATTGTTCGGTTATTATAAAAAGCGGATGAATGAGCGACATTTCAGTCGAAGGTAGAGTGAACAGATCTTATACAGATCTTAGGCAAAAATTCTAACCGACTCGTAATTTGGATGGGTAACAAGCTCTGTTGTAAAAACGTGTTGAGTAGCTTTTGGCGAAGAAAAAGAAAAAAAAAAGGAAGTAAATAACATTTGAAAAGAAAACAGAAAGAAATAACAAATTGGAAAGTAGAAAAGAAGGAAGGAATGAAAGATGCAAGAAAATGAAAAAAATTTAAAAAACCGTGAAAGGAAAAATTAAAATGTTGAAGTTGGAATTCGTAGTAATCGTTGCAAGGAATATGACGGAGCAGTTTTAATTTGAGTGATGTTTCTGGTGGAGAAAGCAATGGTGGATTGAGAGTACAAACAAAGGCATATTCTCAAGAATTTTGAATAAGTCATGTTGATTGCAGATTGGAAAAACGGTATTTACAAAGAAAGGCCAAGAAATCCAACTTCACAAAGAAAACGAAGTCATATATTTTTATCCAAACTAGTTTACGATATATTTAATATAATTTGATGTAAAACATAGTTATGAAGATAATTCCTTTTAATTAGTTTAAAAAGGGAAAAGCCTGGGCGGAGATTAATACTAATCCACGCCAAGGTTTTTTCCTTTTTTTCACATTTCCCAACAGAATTACTTTTCTCCCAAACACAAGTACACAACTGTATCAAGAAATCAAAAGAAAATGGTTGAATCCGTCAACACAACAATAAAAAACCAATATTTCCACACGTGACAGTACTTGACGTAATTTTCAGTTGACAAGATGAATATAATAGCGTTTTCTATATGCTTCCAATTGCTAAGGACATTTTGTTTTGTTATTATTATTAGTTACTTTGTTTTAATGAATTAATTTCGTTTTTGCCTTGAAAAAGTCCACATTGGACGAAACGCGTCGGCTAATATTACAGTTTTCCTATTGTCTTTTACATCTATCTATCTATCTATCTATCTATCTATCTATCTATCTATCTATCTATCTATCTATTATTGAATCAGTACTTATCAATGTCAACTCTGAGTTTCGCAATTTTTCAAACATCACTATTCCGGAATTTTGGAAAAGGATATATATATATATATATATATATATATATATATATATGTGTGTGTGTGTGTGTGTGTGTGTGTGTGTGTGTGTGAAGATACTGGTGTTGGCAAAAAATATTTTCCTGTCAACGTTCATAATACAGATTTGTTGACAACATCAATATATTGTACCACGAAAATAACAAACAAAAACTTCAAATTCTCGAGACCCCCCATATCAAAACCAACCAACACTCAACAAAATTTATTACGAATATAGCAATAACATGTTAAAGTACATATAAAATTTAATGCCATTTTACATTTCTGTCAATTCCCGGTAGACCAGTTGCCTCCAAGGCTATAGAACCGGGTCTGTCCTGCTATTTACCCATAGCTAGGAGGAGAAAAAGAAAAGGATTCATATCTTTCCCAAAGGTATTAGCGTAAGTAAGTGAAGGTAATGGATTCGACTGGAATTCGAACTCGGGTCTCGGCAACTAATTAACTCATAACTAGAAAGTAGAAGAGACGGATTCCTAATTTTCCCAAGGGTATTTGCTCATCAGTGAATAGAAAGGACACAACTGGAATTGGAACACAGCTCTCCAATTAACAATTCTGAATCGTTCTCCATTACACCACCCGCACATCCAAGCTTCCAGCACCTAGCACGTTGCTTAACTTCGGGGATCGTACAGGAACCGGTGTTTCAACGTGATATGGCAGTAAGCCTTCAGAAAAAAGAATAGGAAGGAAAGACGAAAAACAAACAAGGGATGAGAAGAAGAAGAAGAAGAAGAAGAAGAAGAAGAAGAAGAAGAAGAAGAAGAAGAAGAAGATTGTCATGGTCACAGTTTTAATGTGAAATGGCTGTTAGCCACAAGGAAAAAGGGAAATGCCGAGAGAGTGAGAGACTTGATCGTGTACCCACTGAATTTATCTCATAAATTCACAGAGGTATGCCTACCCGTTTTAAATGTTTTACTATTTATCAATAATGCAAAGAATCTAGCGTTGATAATGGGGAAGGGAAAATGCATATTATAGACTGCTACATACATTCTATATATGCTATTTTAATATATAAACTTAAAGTTAAGTTTATTTCAATCGATAAAACGCTGCAAATGAAAAAAAATCACCATCATTCTGAATGAGACAACCGATCGTAGCACGCTCGTTTACGCGGTATTCCCCTTACGCATGCGCACGGAAACAGAGGTTATATTTTATTTAAACAGACAAAAAAGAATAAAAAGAAATTAAAGAATCAGAAAAAATTATAGCAAAGAAGCTAAATTGTTATATTTTCTTTCTGACCTCTTTGCTTGTCAATGTTTTGTCCCCTGGGCAATGTCTGGGGCTTCAAAATGCACCCCCATTATTACAACGCCATGCTAATTACTAAGAGAATCTGATGACTAACTATCGCGGGAGTAGAGACTTGATAAAAATAACATTGGAATTATCTGACAAGTACACTAGCCAGTTGAAAAATTATAAACGCAATATAAAACCAAATAAATAAATGGTAAAAGCAAATAACGTTTCTTATCTTTGCTTTTTTTTTTTCTGTTCATCATTTCGTATAATTCTTTTTTATATATTTTTCACCGTAAGGCCAAGAAAGTTTGTTTTCCAGGTCACATGACTAACGACAATTATGATGTGGCAATCAACAATAGAGACACCGATCAGTTGCGACAAAACTTACGCTAAATATTTCGTAAAAAAAAAAAATGTTTTACAAAAATACGAAGCCGGTAATTGGTATTTTTATTAAAAATTTGACTGGGATGAAAATAGATAAATATTTGCAAGACATTAAAGAAAGAAAATATATTAATGGTAAAATAAAAATTAAAAGAAAAGTAATCTGATTTGTTTTGTATCGTTTCATTCCTTTTTTTATCTCTGTTTTCGACTTCTTTATTGTAATTTAATTTCTTTCTCTCTCTCTCTTTCTTTCTCTCTCTCTCTTTCTTTCTTTCTTTCTTTCTTTCTTTCTTTCTATTCCCCAAACTTAAACCTGTAGTTTATCTTCTTCATCATATATATATATCTGTACCTATTTTCTTTTTCTTCTTTCATTCTATACTGTTTTACTCTTTCTTTCTTTCTTTCTTTCTTTCTTTCTTTCTTTCTTTCTTTCTTTCTTTTAATAAAATACCATCAATTCGAAAACATTAAATGTAAAAATAGATTTAAAATGTAGTATAAATTTTGTAACATTTAATTATGAGAGCTTGGGTCAGTGGTCTACAGTGTTTGTATTATAAAAGTATTTAAAATATTTTCTCCTGAAAAAAATAAGGAAATATTCAGAGGAGAAACGCAGAAAGAAAAAGAAGCAGTTCATGAAAGAAGCGAAAAAAAGAAAAAGAAAAAGAAAAAAGAGGACAAAGAAGAAAAGAAATTAGTACACAAGAGTCAAAGCGTAAAAAGAACGAATTTAAAAAAGAAGAATGTTTTGATAGAGAATAAACGGATGCAAATAATGAAATAGGGAAAGGGGAAGGAAAATAGATTAATAAGGAAGGAAGGGGAAAGAAAGAGAGAAATGTAGAATGAAAGAAAAAAAAATGTAAAATGAAACAGGGTAGGAAACAAAATTTGAATTAAAAAAGAAAATAAAAAATGCTGAATGTAAAAAAGAAAATAATCTTGAATGATTTAAATAAAAAATATTTACATATGTATATATATATATATATATATATATATATATGTAAATATTTTTATTTAAATCATATATATATATATATATATATATATATATATATATATATCCAGGTAAAATGAGAACAAATGGAGTATAATTCTACTGTACGTAACATTTAATTTAAAAGAGAGCTCAATACAGAATAGAGATAAATATTATATATTTTAGGATATTAAAACAAAATCATGATAAAAATGGCTACACAATTACAATTATGTTTCAACACTACAAATGTGTCTTCTCGGGCAGTTTAATCTTACAGCAGTTTAATATCGCCCGAGGAGACACATTTGTAGTGTTGAAACATAATTGCAATTGTGTAGATATTTTTAAAAATTTTTTTTTGTTTTAATATCTTAAAATAAATATTATATATATATATATATATATATATATATATATATATATATATTATATATTTAAAAAAAATATGATTCCAAATCGCTACGTAAGAGGTCTCATGTTTCAAAACAAGAGCCGAAAACTTCAATATAATCCTTTAAATTAAATTGAGTTGAAAGTAAAATGGGCTCCGTTCCATCTTCGAGCGAAATTTTTGTTGGAATAACGTATATCTGAAATTTACTTGTTTTAAAATTGAAATCAAAATCCCCATGGTAACAGCTATGGTAAATTGTCTAAATTGGGTAGGCGAGTGTAGGGTGTTTATAATAAGTAGCGGTATAGAGATACTTTCAAGGTGTCAAGTCGAGGAAAGGTGGGGGTGTCAAAAATGAAACGGAAGATGTATTGGCCATCGTCTAGTTTGCTTGTCTATGGAGATTTATTTATTTATTTTATTTTATTTTTATTAAAAAAGAATTGTGCATATAAAAAAAAAAAACTTTCGTAACGTTTGTTTTTTTTGACGACTTCATAAAGGGTTATCTTATATGTAAGGTATTTAAACTACTAATTTAGGCTATGGATTATGAAGTGTGTTATGTAGTATGCATGTTTGTAGTTAATTATTCCTACTATGAATCTGATGATTGGGCTATTTGTTAAACAAGTTATATAAATTTTTTTTATCTAATAAATCAAACCAAAAATCTGATGATGCCTACAAAAACCGTTAACTCGTGTCTATTATTTAATAGATTATTATTATTTAGAAGTTTAATAATGTGCAATTTTTCATGGAGGCACAAAGGGCATGGGTCATCCCAAGCTTTACCTATTCTAGCCTTGGATTATTTACCTAACCAGTTCCTTCCTATTTTCTATATATTTTCACACACACACACACACACACACACACACACACACACACACACACACATATATATATATATATATATATATATTGCGTAAAGTTTGGTAGCATGTTTTCATTAAGACATGTCTCATTAAATAATTTAGACAAGTTTTCTGCTACTTATTCTTAATCGGATCCTGTCATATTTACGGACATTTTTATCAATATTCTTATTAAAGGAAGAAAGAAAGTTACAATGTTGATGCATATTCATTTTATTCCGAGTACTTTGTCCTAGTATGATGAACACAACAAATTGATCTTTTTAGGAGAGTGGGACCATCTCTTAATTGATGTTGTTCTCAGGTTTACCCTGATCCGGGGTGGTAGCAACTATTAGAGTTCCCAGCTATGGCTAAATAGTAACCCCCCCTTAAAGAAAACAAAACACTATAAAAGTATAAAAAATAAATTTTTCATGTGAAAATACCAGCAATACATTTTTATATAGCAAAATTACCAAAAAATGTATTTCTAGTTGAAAGTATTCAATTGCATTCAAAATATATTCAGACGAAGTCATAAAATTGTGTTGAAAATATTTTAATTTCGGTATTAAATAATCCACAGAGGTTGATATGCGGCTAAACAAAATGAACGAACCAATCAACTTTCTTCAACACTCTTAAACCTGATTCTGGAGGGAATTATATGGGAAACACTCCACAAGCATAACGCTTCTATCTCTATCGATGGAAAAACAGGAACTAAACACAGAGAAATTCAAAGTAATCGTTAATTGAACAAGCAACTGGCACTGGCCAGTCGTCAAAATGGACGGTGGAATAATGGAGGGGGTACCCAAATTTGAATACTTGGGAGCAATTCTTTCAAAAGATGGCACATGCAACGCAGAAATCCGCACACGTATCGTCACAGTCACAGCAGCGATGGTCAGACTGGAAAGGATATGGAAGGCAAAATCAGCTTCCATATCAAGTTCAAGCTCTAAAAATAGCTGGTTGTATCCATCCTCCTCTACGGGTGTGAGACTTGGACATCTTGGTTGAGTCAGGGAAAAGGATCCAGGTGTTCGAAAACAAATGCTTGAGAAACCTACGTCGTATCTCCTACTGGGAACACAAAGCCAATAACTATGTACAGAGGAAGGTGAAAAATCTCGTGGGGCCACAGGAATCTCTCCTCGCCGCTATTAAGCGTCGGAAAATGTTATAGTTTGGCCATTTCACACGGCCTGCAAGTCATTGCTGAAGGCGGATGCGAGCGGTGGCGGCAACGAAAGAGCTGGCCAGAAAACATCAAAGAGTGAACGGACATGATAATAATGCCGGAACTCCTGAGAGCCACCGTCAGTAGACCATACTGGAGGAGGTTGTCAGTTATTTGTGACCTTGGGTCTCCACCCGACGATTGAAGTAGACAAAGGACTGATGATAATTATCATGTTTATTAAAGGATATTTTTTTATTTTCTTTACACACAGTGACACCACAGATAGTGAGAGAAGGAAAAGGAGTGAGATACTGAGAGAGAAATCAATAAAAAGGGACATGCAGAAGGCGAGAGTGAGAAAAAAAACGAGTGTTAATAAAAAAGAAAGAGGGTGTGTGAGAGAGAGGAGAGAGAAAGTGTGTAAATGAAAATACTAAAGAAGAATGAAATAATCGATCGATTGAAATAAATCGAACTTTTGAGACATAACCTGTTGCTTATTTCTCAAAGGTGTGTTCCAGCACAGATTGAAGATTTAATTACAAGGCTGGTAAGATCTTCACACGTAGAGGATAGGAAGGATTGTTACACATGGTGGATTGGTAGGATATTCGCATTTGGATGATTTCCACCACATTCAAAATTGGAAGACCAGCAATATTTTAATATTTGGAGGATAGAAAATACATACACACATTGAAAAGTGGTTAGAGATTCGTATTTAGAAGATTAACTGGATATTCACACATGGAAGGTTGACAGAATATTCATATGTTGAAGATTGTCAGGATATTCAAAAATGTGAATTTAGTTGGTTATTCACACTTGCAGGATATTAACGCTTGGATGATTGACAGTGTATTATCATTTGGGATGATATTCACAAATGCTGAATTACTAGGAGATTTAAGTTGAAGAAATGGCAGGATATTCACATTTGGAGGAGTGGCAGAATATTCACATTTGGATGATTGACAATATATTCATACATGAAGAAATGGCAGGATATTCACACTTGGAGGAGTGGCAGAATATTCACATTTGGATGATTGACAATATATTCATACATGAAGAAATGGCAGGATATTCACACTTGGAGGATTGACAGTCTCCTCATACTTAAAGGATTGGAAGGATATTCACAAATGGAAGCCTCATCTCTATGTCTATTCGTGTCGGACTAAACTAAATAAATATAAATCAACGACAAAAAAACAATATTATAGCATTTATAGAACGAACATTGAAATTATTTTTCTGCAGGCTATTTTCTTTTCTTTCGAAGCTCGGAGTAATTAACTCTTTGTGAAGTTTCACGTGCATTCATGTCCCCGTTACAGTTAATTCAACAAAAACGCACAAATGCTATCGATGTCCTTGGGGATAGTTTGCCATAAAATCAATGCCAATCAGAACAGACGTCGTTAGAAATAACATTTTCGCCTTTTCTTCTTACTGGACATTTATGCGATGTGGTAAAAAAAAAAACAAACTTGATTTGGTAAAGTCACATCAAGGATAAAAATAAAGAAAAAGAACAGGGGAGGGAAAAAGAAAGAAAGAAAGAAAGAAAGAGGAAAAAGGCGTGTTAAAACAGAATGCAACAATTCAAAAACATTGCAAAAAGACGGTTTCTTAGACGGAGAAAAAGTGCAAGAGATTAGAGAGATAGAATGGAAATAAAAGAAAAAGTCAAGGGAAATGAAGGGGCAAAAGAAAGAACAAAAATAATATAGAAAAAAAAAGGAATGATCAAAAGAAAAGAAAGAAGAGAAAAAAAAATCGAAAATAAAACCCAAAAATCTAAAAGAATCTTAAAAAGATAAAAAAAGCAAAAGAGAAATAAAGACAAATAAAAAAGAAAACGAAGATAGAGAAAACAAAATTTGGGAAAATAAGAGAAAACAAAGATTAAATAAGGAAATGAAAAGAAGTAAAAAGAAGTGAATATGATGCGAAATTCCACTTTAGCAATTGAATTCTTTGAAT